TCTAGTTCTGGTCCCCTTCTCCTATTGGCCTCAGTTGCTTTAAGGTATCTGCTTTAGTTTCTCTGCATTGAGGGCAAAAATGCTAGCTCATTTTTTAGGTGTCTTACCTATCCTCACCCTCCCTTGTGTGCCAAAAGTTTATCCCATTGTTGTGTTTGCCTTGATCTAATATCACATATGAGGGAGACATCAATTTTTGGTCTTTTGGGCAGGCTAACCTCACTCAGAGTGATGTTCTCCAATTCATCCATTTACCAGCGAATGATACATTTGTCGTTCTTCTTCATGGCTGCATAAATTCCATTGTATACACCTCATTTTTGACAAAGGGGCCAAAAATATATGATGGAGAACAGAAGGCCTCTTCAACAAATGTTGCTGGGAAAAGTGGTTACCCGTCTGCAATAAACTGAAATTAGATCCATGTCTATCACCCTGTACTAGTATCAACTCAAAATGGATCAAGGACCTAAATATCAGACCCGAAACTCTGAAGTTACTACAGGAAGGAGCAGGAAACATTCTGGAGAAAATAGGTATAGGCAAAGACTTCCTTAATAGAACCCCAGCAGCCCAACAACTAAAGAAAGGATGAATAAATGGGACTTCACAAAATTAAAAAGCTTCTGCACAACAAAGGAAATGGTTTCTAAACTAAAAAGACCACCCATAGAGTGGGAGAAAATATTTGCCAGCTATACATCAGACAAGGGACTGATAACCAGAATATACAGGGAACTTAAGAAACTAAACTCTCCTACAATCAATGAACCAATTAAGATAAGGGCAACTGAACTAAACAGAACTTTTTCAAAAGAAGAAATGTCAAATGGCCAAAAAAGCACAATGAGAAATGCTCAACCATCTCTAGCCATAAAGGAATGCAAATCAAAACACACTAAGATTCCTTCTTACCTGTTAGAATAGCCATCATCAAAAAACACTGCACATGTTGGTGAGGATGTGGGGAAAAAGGAACCCTAATCCACTGCTGGTGGGAATGTAAGCTGGTGCAACCACTCTGAAAAAAGATTTGGAGACTTCTTAAAGATCTAAACATAGACCTGCCATATGATCCAGCAATCTCACTCCTGGGAATATACCCAAAGGAATGCAACACAGGTTACTCCAGAGGCACTTGCACATCCATGTTTGTTGCAGCACTATTCACAATAGCCAAGTTAAGGAAACAACCAAGATGCCCCACTACTGATGAATGGATCAAGAAAATGTTGTACTTGTACACAATGGAATTTTACTCAGCCATGAAGTAAAATGAAATGTTATCATTTGCAGGAAAATGGATGGAACTGGAGAACATCATCTGAGTGAAGTCAGCCAGGCTCAGAAGACCAAAAATAATATGTTTTCCCTCATATGTGGACTTTAGATCTAGGGCAAATGCAGCAGTGTGGTTGGACTTGGATCATAAGACAAGGGGAGAGAACATACGGGAGATATAGGAATAGGTAGAAAACCCAAAACATGAAAACATTTGATGTCCCCACTCCAGAGGAACTAATACAGAAACCTTAAAACAACATGTTATCATGAGCAGGGGATAAGGAACCAATGTAAAGATCAGTTAGAGATGAATCAGCATGGGTCGTAATGCATGGGTACATGAGAGCAATAGTAGGAATCTTTTGGTAGAGCTATCCTTAACTCAACTAGCAAAAACGCTTTGTCTTTCTTATTATGCTTATGTCTTTTCTTCAACAAAATCAGTGATGAGGGCAGAACAGGACCTGCCTGGAACTGATGGGGAGGGGAAGGTTGGGGGAGGGGGGCAGGGTGGAGGAACGACCCAAACAATGTAAGCACATGTGAATAAGTGAACAAAAAAATGAATGAGAAAAGAAAACATAAAAAATGAAAGTTCATTACAGGTTGCTTATAATTAGAATGGGAGTAAATCCTTGCCAGCTATACATGTGACAAATGATTAATAACCAGAATATGCAGGGAGCTCAGAAAACTAAAATCCATAAAAATCAATAACCCAATGAAGAAATGGGCAAATGAACTGAACATAGCTTTGTCAAAGGAAGAAGTCCAAGTGGCAAAAAACACATGAAGAAATACTCAACATCCCTGGCCATAAAAGAAATGCAAATCAAAAGCACGATGAGATTTCAACTCACTCCTGTTAGAATGGCTACCATCAAGAACACAAACAAAAAATATTGGTGAAGATGTGGGGAAAAAGAAACTCATGTACTGGGAACTCTCACATATGGGAAAAAGGAATTCTCCCACTGTTGGTGGGAATGTAAATTAGTATAACCATTATGGAAAACACTATGGAGACTCCTTGAAAAAGCTAAAAATATAACTGCAATACGATTCTGCAATAGCACTCCTAGGGATATTCTCAAAGAATATTAGTAAGGTTAAAATAAATGTACCTGCACAGGAAAGTTAATTGCAATACTATTCACAATGGTTAAGCTATGAAAACAGCCAAGATATCCCGCTAGTGATTAATGGATTAGGAAAATGTGGTATTTATATACAATGAAATTTTGTTTTGCCATAATGAAGAATGAAATTTTGTTATTTGCAGGTAAATGGATGGAACTGGAGATTATCATCTCATGTAAAGTTAACAAGGTTCAGAATGCCAAAAGGCCACATGTTTTCTCTCATATGTGGAATACAAACAATATTATGAAAAATAGGCCATGCTATGGTGAGGTCAGTAATGAAAGAGGGAGGGTAAAAGAAGGGAGTTGAGAAGGTGAATGTGGTTGATGTACTTCTGATATAAGAATGGATATATAATTTTTAGTCTTCTTGAAATAGCCTTAATAAGGAGACTAAAGTGGAAAGAAGAAAAATAGAGATCAACCAATTTGGGTTATAACACATATTTACATAGAAATGTCACAAGGAAACTCCCTGTAGAGTTTTCTTAAACAAACAAAATGTCATTATTTTTACATAAAAGGAGAACAAGAGGGCAGAACAGGTCCTGCTTGGTAGGTTGGTACAAGTGAGAATGGGGAGCATGTAGGGAGAGTGTATAGGAGGGTGAATATTGTGCAAATACTTTGTGCACATGTATGAAAATGGAAAAATTGGGGATGATTTCAACTATGATATATTTTTAGAACTTTTGTAAATATCACAATGTACCCCCAGCACAATGATAATAAAAAATAAAAGATTTGGAAAAAAAACTTCAGAAAAACACAACACAGAATTCGTGTCTCAGAAGCATGTAATAAAATGTAAAAGCATTAACCATCACTTAATAGTGCTAAACCCCTGCCCCAGTGCCCAAGGAAGAGTTGAGTCTCTTTGGCTGTCTCACATGGTCCTGTGCAGTTTAGAGTCTGAGTTGACTGGCAGGATGCTGACACTTAAAAAGCAGTAGAAGGACAAGTTGCAGGAAAATACATTTAAGGAAGAATGAAAGAAACCACCCCACTTACTTTTTCTATTGGCTCATTTCTACTAGACCCATTTAAGCTTGATCCACCTAGGAAAAGTCGTCTCAATTTTCTAGGAAGATTTTTGAAAACCTTATAATTAATCAGATCCATCCAAATCAGAATCTCTGGTGATAAGAGGCAGTTATCAGCATTTTCAAACTCTTCAGGTAATTCACATGAAAGCCAAACTTTATAACCAGTGATATGGCCTCTGGACACAATTACCCAGTAATTTTTCGTAGATTTTTTTGCAGTTCTGAAGTTTGAACTCATGGCTTCTCACTTGCTATGTAGGCAGTCTACCACTTGAGCTATGCTTCCGGGACATTTTGGTCTGGTTATTTTGAAGGTATGGTCTCCAGATTTGTCAAGACTGGTCTGAATCATGATCCCTAGTTTATGCTTTCAGCATTAGTTAGGATGACAGGTATGCCACTACAACTACCTTATTTTTATTTTTTGTTGAGATGGGGGTATCATTAACTTTGTTCCTTAGGGTGGCCTAGAACCATGATTCTGCTCATCTCAGCTTCGCAAGTAACTCTAATTACAGCAACAGCCACTGGCTCCCAGTATTAGGTGTATTTTGTTAAAGGAAATGTACATGAACTTTGAAAAGGCATGTAAAAATTAAATACATAAGAGTGCCTAGCCTCTACCTGGAAACTAAGGTCATTGCTCTGAAATTACATAGGTTGTATGTGTATATTGACTTAGACATGAAGTTTATGTTGTGTGTTGAAAAGGAATACTCACAATAATAGTTGTTTGAATTCAGGAAAACTCACATAATCATCATTTAAATGGAACTAAGGTAAAAGGAGAAAAATAGATGAGATGAACTGATTCAGCTTAATATCTATCAATCTATCTATAATGTATAATATATATTAAATTACATATATAATTTCCATATATGCATATATGGAAATATCACAAGGAAACTCCCTGTATAGCTATCGTATACAAAAAAAATATGTCCTTTTTCAAAAACAGCAATAGGAAGGTAAAAAGTTCTGTCTGTGGAGGCCGGCACTAGTGGGAGGAGGGAGCATATAAGAAAACGGTGTAGGAGGGTGAATATGGTAAAAATATTATGACTCATGTATGAAAATGAAAAAATAAGATCTGTTGAAACTACTCCAAAATAAGGGGAGGGGGCATAAATAATGATGCAAGTGGTAAATTCAACTATGATATATTATTAGAACTTTGGTAAATGTTAAAATGTACCCCCAGTAGAACAATAAGAAATAAAATATTCAAAAAAAGAAACGAAAGGAATACTCACACAATTCAATTAAAGACAAACAATAGTGATCAATATTCAGTTATGAAGCAGATAGGAGTTAATGTTATGATGCCACAAAAACAATGCAATCAAGAAAGCAGGATTTGCACGTCCAGATGATTGGTTTACAACCCGCATTACACAAATTACAGAAAGAATGGAAGAGTACAATAGACTTTGAAGAAGCAAAGAGACTAGGAGGCAGAGATTTATATAAGATGCTAAGTTTAACAGCCTAATAGTAAATATCTTCCAAGAGTGAAAACTTTAGATTAGATTGTCCTCCTTTGAAGTTTAAATAAGGCACATTTGATGTCCCTGTTCCTAAGGCTGTAGATGAAAGGATTAAGCATAGGTGTTACCAGACTGTACATCAGTGAGGTCACTGCACTGTTTCTAGGAGAATGTAATACAGTTGACCCGAGGTACACACCAATAGCTGTTCCATAAAATAAGCAAACCACAGAGAGGTGAGATCCACAAGTGGAAAAGGCTTTATACTTCCCATCTGATGGGATTCTCAGAATGGAGGAAATAATTTTATAATAAGAGAAAAGGATCCCTGAGATGGGAATAAAACCATATATGGTGGCAAGAAAATACTGGATGATGTTAGTAGAGATGGTGCTAGAACAGGTAAGATTAAGGAGTTCAGAAGGGTCACAATAAAAATTAGAAATTTCCACCTTCTTGAAGTATTTAAATTGTAACACAATCACATTGTGTACCAGACAGCTCCATGTGCTAACCAAAAAAGATACCCAAACTAAGAATCTGCACAGTTGAGGGTTCATAACAACAGTGTAATGCAGGGGGTGACAGATGGCCATGAACCGGTCATAAGCCATCACAGTCAGAAGCATACAATCTACATCCGCAAAAATGAGAAAAAGAGACATTTGTGCCAGACAGCTCACATAGGAGATGACTCTGCTGTGGGTTTGTATGTTTACAATCATATTTGGGACAGTGGTAGAGATGAAACATATATCAGCCAAGGACAGGTTGGAGAGGAAGAAGTACATGGGGGTGTGGAGGTGGGAGTCAGAACTGACGGCCAGGATAATGAGCAGGTTCCCAAGCACTGTGACCAGGTACATGGAAAGGAACAGTCCAAACAGGATGGGCTGTAGTTCTGGATCTTCTGAGAGCACCATAAGATGGAATTCTGAGAGTTGTGTTAAATTTTGTGCTTCTTTATTGTTTGGACACCTTTTGAAAAAATGACACAAACAGGCACTCACCACTGTGTATATATTTTAAATCCAAGCCACAAAAAGTAAAACATTGTCATTTGAAGTCCACCTCTCTTTAGCCCCATTTTTCAGATGTGGCAAACCCAAACATCTAGAACACTTTCATTATTATTGTTGCTATCTACTTCCTTCACTGCACTCCTACTTTAGAGACACTCAGATGAACAATGTTAGAACACAGAGAACTTTAGAGATAAGTTCACGGTCACAGTCACATAGAGAATACTCTGAAGATGAAATAGAAAAGAAATATCCTTTCCCTGTGAAAAATCATCATCATTAAAGGAAATGAAGAAGCAGTCCAATATAGTTTTCTTTTTTGCTTAGACAAGGTACAAATTTCCTTTGCTTAGATTATTTCTGAAGATTTAATAAGTTCATGAGTACATTATATGACCGCTAAATGAATTATAGTTGTCTTAAGTCAGAAAATATTGTTAGGTTCTTGTTGTGTTAGGAGTTTCATCACTAATTGATTTCTGATTTTCGTCCTTCAAAGATGAAAGTACTCACCTGCATTTTTTATTTCAAAAATCATTCAACAAGTGTAAACTATTGGAGGATATGGATATGTTTGAACTGTTTTTTCCTTTTTATGGCAGTACTGAGGTTTGAACTCAGGGTCTTACACTTAACAGGAAGGAAGGTGCTCTACTACTGGAGCCATTCCATCAGATTTAATGCATTTTTTTAATTTAGAAAAGCAAAAGTTACAGGTAACTATTTTCTTTTTAAAATTTTTCTTTTCTCTTTTTAATTATATTATTGTTGTACTGGGGACACATTGTGACATTTATAAAAGTTTTTACAATATATCATAATTGAATTTACCCCCTTTATCATTCTCCTTTATCCCAACTCCCCCATTCCTGGAATCATTGAAATAGCTATCAGTATTCCATTCTATGCATATATACATAATTTTTCCATCACCCTCCTACAACCTTTCCACATATCCTCCCCCTAACCTGTTTTAAACATTACACAATGAATCAAAAGATCTCATGGGATCTATTTGTGATGAAAAACTTGTAGATTTTTTTCATACCACTTATAATAAAAAATAAAATATATTTATTGAAAAATCTTTTTCTGCAGTGTACCCCAAATTTTGATAAACATTATATAAATACACAGTCAACACTCTTATTGATCACAAATGTGGCATTAATGTTCCCTGCTCCTGTTACTAAGTGAAAAATAATGAAATGTTCATAATCACATTTGGATTATTTTATTTTTACAGGCTTTCTTGTTTTAAGTTCATGCTCTCTCACTAGAAGATTTGGCACATAAGGCAGTTCTTGTATTTTGTTCCTCACCCTTTGTTCTGTGTTCTCAAGTGACCTGTTAATTCTGTATCTTTTTTTTCTAATGAAAATCATCCTTATTTAAAGATGAGGAGTCTAACTCCAGAGAAAGCCCCAAATCCATCAGTCAGTCCCAATATTATTATGTCTAAGCACTATACTTTCTCATCTGTACTTCCTGATACATAGATTTCAGCTCTCTTCAGTTACATGAAAGCAACTCTGGCTATTTTATCAGCTCACAGTATATTTTATTTTTATATTTAAAAGAGAAAAGTGAGAGGAAATAATAGAAACACCCAGGGGAAGTTTCCTCACCTGTAAAATGGAATTAATAATTAACTACGCCATAGAATTGTTTGTAAGAAAGTTAAATTCTTCTTTATTGGTAATGGAATTTTGTCTCAGGAGCTCACATTTGCTATGCAGGTGCTCTATAACGAGCCACCTGTCCATGCCTTTTATGTCTTACCTACTTTTCATGTAGGGTCTTGAGTTTTCACCAGGAGCCAGCCTCAGGCTATGACCCCAGTGTATATGATGTCCCACATAACTGGGCTATCAGCAAGCATTCCCATCCCCATGCTTCTGGATTGAGGTTGGTACTTTTTGTCCTGGGCTTGCCTGCTATCCTTCTGATTTCTTCCTCTTGAGTAGCTGAGATTTCAAACATGAGCCACTGCACCTGACTCTCAAAGATCTATTAATTTATATAAACTAGTGTTTCTCGGTCTCATCTATCACTATATATGTATCTATGCACATTAATGAAATACCAAATTCTCTGAACCCACCAAAACCAATTTAAGCAAAATATTGATATGTAAAGATTTTTCATGCTCCATGCATGGATGATAACCACTTTTGTAGAATAATTCCTGACATCTAGCAAGTGTCCCAGTAATAATATTACTGCTATCAAACATTCATTATCAATATTAAAATATAGGATATAAATTATGTTTCCTTCAAAACTACTATCCATATATGTTTATATTGTCATTATAAAATTCGAATTCTGCACTAGTACATTCTCCTGCATGCCTGTCTTATAAAGGCAAATCCTATAAGAACTTGGTGGGTATGTTTTCCTGTCACTTTCTTCATGTCATTATTGGTTTATGTATGTGCAACATTTTCATTAGAGCACATAAGAAGTATCTAAAACTCCTATAAGCAGTATAAAACACAATATAACACCCATTTCTCCTGAAATGATTTAGATTGCATTGGGAAGAGGATTAAGTCTCTCTGTGGCTTGTGTGCATCTATTTCAAAGGCTTTAGCTGAAGCCCAGCACTGCCCAAGGGAGGGACATCATTGAAAGTCTGAGTTTGTGATTTAAAAAGTCTTTCAACATTCTTTTGCTTCTTTCTGGATCACAGAGTGATAATTTCTATTTAATATGAGGATGGAGAATAGTTGTTTGATGCCTCAAATTGATACATGTTCAGTTTTACAACCTAATTTATTTTCCCATTAAAATATCAGTAATTATCACTAACATCCTCTATTCTAACTACGTAGCATCAAAGTATTGCTACAGTCCTTATAGTAATATTGCTTTCATGACAACTTACATAGAAATTTCCAGTTGCCTGGGAATAAATCTTTGCAGTTTGCTCCTGTAGAGGAGACAGTGAGCTGGGATGAGAGTCAGGAAATGAATCTTTTAGTCCCCTGTTATTTACTCTCACATGCCAAATGTAAATCTTTCCACCTCGTTCCCATGTCCACAGTGCATTTGGCATGAAGCATAGTTTAGAAATTGGTAAAATATCACCATTGGGTGTTTGTTGTACAGAGAATTCCATCATCATAGAAACAGCACATTTGTTGATGAATACATTTTTCAAACGGCATTGGAACATGGAATGATGTGAACCACTAAAATATGGCTCAGTAATATGAAATAGGAAAACAGTAAGTTTGGGTCACAGAATATTTTCATTGAGTGGTATGAAAGCTAAACATCATCTTCATTATTAATAATGATGATAATATTTAAAATTTACTCTTACAAAATTTTGTGCGTACATTTCATATCAACCACACAGAGGTCACTTACGGATGCTCCTATGCAATGCAGTTGTATCAACTGGAAATCAACTATCATGTGCTGAGTTACAGAGATCATAACAACATTCCCTGTTTCACAGAAATAATAAATGAATCAGATTGTATTCAAAATTAAATTGTTTCTGATTCTGAAGCACTAAACCTTTTCATTTTCCAAGCCATTAGTTTTTTTTAAAAAAGTTCTTGCCACTGTTTTAATGAGGATTGCACAGAATAAAATTTATCAAAATTATTGTGTGTAGGATATAAACTTAGCAGTATTACATAAAATTATCCTATGAAGTCATGTATTATGTTATGCATTACAAAGTATTGCAGTGTGCCTTAGCATATCTAATGCATCTCAATTTTTATTAGTACAGAGATCCAGAGGTCTTTACCATAGTCCATCAGAGATAAGTTTTAGAACTTTATTCAGTTCCTAAGTAGGAAAGCAATGAAGGCCTGACTTTGTATCTTCTGGGGATTAAGCAGATTAATTTAAACATTGGTGAGGATGTGGGCAGCTTCTAGGGTACCCTGGAATGAACTGAAGTAAGAAAACTCTGTGTTGGCTTACTGTGTGCCTAATTTCTGTGACCTTAACCTGTGATCTTTGGCTCTGCCACCTATAGTGGATGCAGCTGGTGTCACCCACAGGTCTGCCCTATAGTTTATCACCCCCTGTAGTTTTCGAGGAGCATTAGGAAGAGTATGAAGAGGAAAAGAAGGAGGAGGAAGGGAGGAGTTAGGGAGGAATACCCAATGGGAATAGCCCAGTAAATAAGGGGTCTTCTTCCATTGAGAATGTTTGAGGATGTTTGTGTTGTTAGTTGGGCAACCTGGAGGGTTCTTTTGGCAAAATATCCTGTGTCCATAAGTAGACAGCCCAATTCAAGCATGGCTTCACTCTTTTCTTCCAAGATAATGTTTAAGAGTATATCCAGTTTTCTAAGTAGTAATGCAGTGAAAACCTGACATTAATTATTCTCTTAAAACATTTATGTTTCAAACTCTGTACTCTTTCTTTCTGGAAATGAAGTGGACACTTTTGGCTTGGTAATACCTAGTCATAAGAATGTTATCAAACTATGTATAACTCAGCTCAGAGCCTGGAACTCTGGAATCCTTAAATAATAGTTCATTATGTTGAGGTTCTTGTCATCCTTCTGCTCCACCTTTATAACAATTAGGGAATATTTAGGAAGCAGTTTTGAGGGATCCATTATATGTTTTCTCATTTTATGAGATGACTTTGAGAAGTATAATACATGTAGGGAGGAAAGGAAAGCTCTAAATGAATTATCTAGGACCATCAACACAATCCAAAACATAAATTTCATACTCACCATAGCAGTGAGTATGTAAAGTATGTATGCAAAGAAACTTCCCATGTGGCTACCAAAACAGTTATGTATTTCCTAATGATGAGAAAATAACATTTCTGATGATGTTTCTTGCTTCCACAACCTCCCTCAACACTTACTGGTTTAAGCTGCTTCTCTCCTGGTTCATGACCATCGGCTGGGAATGCAAAGCATCTCACCAGTCTTGTGCTTAAAGAAATCTCAGGCTCCTTGCTTAGGATTGATATGAAAATACAGTCTAAGATGGGAGCTTCTGGATGCAGACAACCATGTGAGGATCACATGCTGTTATGTAGTCCTCTGGAATGGGAAGCTTCAGATTTGAAGGTCTGGATACACAGTTTATTAATGACCTTGGGGACCAAATGCACAGAGCTCATAATAGGCAACTTGTGGCATATTATCCCTGTCTCTAAGTGATTCTTAACATTAGGAGATGAAAAAGAGAGGAGGAAATGAATGTCCATTACAGTTTGGAATCTTTTTCTACTCATGGGCAATTTCTCAATCTGTTCCCAGGATTTTAAAATTCTTTTTTATTTGTTTTAAAAAAGGATCCATACAGTTTTTCTTCCCATTGTTTATTGTATTTATATATCTTATATATGTATATATCTTATACATCATTATTATATATCAATATGCTAATTATATTATAGGTATGTAAACTTACCATTTAACCTTTTTTTTTTCATTTTTATGTTATTGTTGTGCGGAGTAGGGTACAATGTGGCATTTATGAAAGTTCTTACAATTATCATACTTGAATTCACCCCTACACTATCTCCTTTTTCCCCCCATCCCCCACTCCAGGAAAAGTTTCAACATGCATCTTTTTTTCTATTTACATACAAGTGTGCACAGTATCTGCACTATATTCACCCTTCTATCCCTTTCCACGTCCTCTTCCTCCCACTGGTACCAATGCCCCTAGGCAGGACTTGTAGTGCTTTCCTATTCTCTGATTTTGTAAAAGGAAAATAAATGACATGGTAGCTGTTTAGCTTACACAGGGAGTTTCCTTGTGAACTTCCATGTATTTATGTATTATAGCCCAATTAGGTTCTCTTCCGTTTTTCTTCTTTCTATCTTAGTTCCTTTGTTATGATGGTTTCAACAGTTTAGAAATTCTACATTAATCCTTCTTTCTTTGTTTTTTCTTTCATTCATACGTGCATACAACGTTTGGGTCATTTCTCCCCTTCCCCAACCCCTCCCTAACCCCCTGCCTCCTCCCTCTCCCCCCCCACTCCCTCGCTACCAGGATGAAACTATTTTCCCTTATCTCTAGTTTTGTTGAAGAGAGAGTATAAGCAATAATAGAAGAACTAAGGGTTTTTGCTAGATTGAGATTAAGGATAGCTATACAGGGAGTTGACTCGCATTGCTTTCCTGTACATGTATGTTACCTTCTAAATTAAATTTTTCTCAAACTGACCTTTTCTCTAGTTCCTGGTCACCTTCTCCTATTGGCCTCTGTCACTTTAAAGTATCTGCATTAGTTTCTCTGCATTGAGGGCAACAAATGCTACCTTAGATTTTAGGTGTCTTACCTATCCTCATACCTCCCTTGTGTGCTCTCGCTTTATCCTGTGATCAAAGTCCAATCCCTTGTTGTGTTTACCCTTGATCTAATGTCCGCATGTGAGGGAGAACATACAATTTTTGTCCCTCTGAGCCTGGCTGACCTTGCTCAGAATGATGTTCTCCAGTTCCATCCATTTATTGTGAATGATAAGATTTCATTCTTCTTCATGCTGCCATAAAATTCCACTGTGTATAAATACCACATTTTCTTGATTCATTCATCACTAGTGGTTGGTATCTTGGCTTGTTCCATAACTTGGCTATTGTGACTAGTGCGCACTAAAGCACAGGGTGTGCAAGTGCCTCTGGAGTAACATGTGTCACATTTTTTTGGGTATATCCCCAAGGAGGTATTGCTGTATCAAATGGTAGGTCTATGTTTAGATTTTTAAGAAGCCTCCAAATTTTTTTTCCAGAGTGATTGTATTAGTTTGCATTCCCACTAGCAGTGTAAGAGGGTTCCTTTTCCCCACATCCTCGCAACACCTGTTGTTAATGGTGTTGCTAATGATGGCTATTCTAACAGGGGTTTTGATTTGCATTTCCTTTATGGTAGAGAAGGTGAGCATTTTTTCATGTTTTTTGGCCATTTGAATTTCTTCTTTTGAAAAGTTTCTGTTTAGTTCTGCCCATTTCTTTATTGGTTCATTAGTTGTTGGGAGAATTTACTTTTTTAAGTTCCTTATATATTCTGGTTATTGGTTCTTTGGTCTATGTGTAAGCGACAAATATTTTCTCCCACTCTGTGGGTGTTCTCTTCAGTTTTAGAGACCATTTCTTTGTTGAGCAGAAGCTTTTTAATTTTATGAAGTTCCTTATCTATGCTATCTCTTAGGTTGCTGTGCTGCTGGGGTTCCATTGAAGAAGTCCCTTGCCTATACCTATTAGTTCCAAAGTATTTCCTCTCTTCTCTATCAGCTTTAGAGTTTAGGATCTGATGTTAAGATTCCTTGATCCATTTGAATAATATGGTATAGGGTGGATAAACATGGATCTAGTTTTCAGTTTGTGCACGACTGCAACCGTTTTCCCAGCAGTTTTTTGTTGAGAGACTGCTTTTTCTCCATCATATATTTTTTTAGCGACTTTGTCAAAGATATGTTGGTTAAGTTCTTTTGCATTCATATCCGGGTCCTCTAGTCTGTTTCCACTGGTCTCCATGTCTGTTTTTATGACTGTATCATGCTGTTTTTATTGCTATTACTTTATAATATAGTTTGAAATCAGGTATGTGATACCTCCAGCATTGTTCTTTTACTGAGTATTGCCTTGGCTATTCGTGGCCTCTTATGTTTCCAATAAATTTAATGGTAGATTTTTCAATCTCTTTGAATGAATGTCATTGGTATTTTGATAGGAATTGCATTAAACATGTAGATTGCTTTTTGGAGTATAGACATTTTTACTATGTTGATTCTACCAAACCAAGCATGGGAGATCTCTCCACTTTCTAAAGTCTTCCTCGATCTCTTTTTTCAGATGTTTATAGTTTTCCTTATAGAGGTTGTTCACATCCTTTGTTAAGTTTACACCTGGTATTTGATTTCTTTGAGGCTATTGTAAATGGAATTGTTTTATATATTCTTAATAGTTTGTTCATTATAAGTGTATGAAATGCTAATGATTTTTCTATGTTGATTTTATCCTGCTACTTGTTATAGCTGTTGATGTGTCTAGAAGCTTTGAGTAGAGTTTTTGGGACTTTAATATATGGAGTCATATCATCTGCAAATAGGGATATTTTGACAGTTTCTTTACCCATTTGTATTCCTTTTATTCCTTCTTCTTGCCTAATTGCTCTGGCTAGGAATTCCAGTACTATGTTGAATAGGAGTGGAGATAGTGGGCATCCTTTCCTTCCTGATTTTGAGGGAATGGTTTCATTTTTTCCCATTAAGTATAATGCTGCTGTAGGTTTGTCATATATAGCTTTTAATGTTGAGGTACTTTCCTTCTATTCCTAGTTTTCTTAGAGCTTTTATCATGAAATGGTGTTGGATCTTATCAAAGGCTTTTTCTGCATCTATTGAGATGATCAAGTGGTTTTTATCTTTGCTTCTGTTAATGTGGTTTATTAATTTTATTGATTTTCATATGTTGAACCACCCTGTTCCTGGGATGAAGCCTACTTGGTTGTGGTGAATGATCTTTTTTGATGTGTTGTGAATTCGGTTTGCCATTTTTTGAGGATTTTTGCATCAATGTTCATTAAGAGATTGGCCTATAGTTCTCCTTTTTGGAGGTGTCTTTGCCTGGTTTGGGATAAGTGTAATACTGGCTTCATAAAATGTGTTAGGCAGTTTTCCTTCCTTTCTATTTCATGGAACAGTTTAAGGAGGGTTGGATTCAGTTCTTCTTTAAAGTCTGATAGAATTCAGCAGAGAATCCATCAGGTCCTGGACTTTCTTTTGGGAGACTCTTATTGCTGCTTCAATTTCATTTTGTGTTATAGATCTATTCAGGTGATTAATTCCTCTTGGTTCAGTTTTGGATGATCAAAGTATCTAGAAATCTGTCCATTTCTTCAAGATTTTCAATTTATTTGAATATAGGTTTCAAGTAGTCTCTGATGATTTCCTGGACTTCCATGGTGTTTGTTGTTATCTCCCTTTTGCATTCCTGATTCTACTATTTGGGTTTTTTCTCTCCTCATTTTAGTCAGGTTTGCCAGGGGTCTATTGATCTTGTTTATTTTTTCAAAGAACCAACTTTTTGTTTCATTAATTCTTTTTGTTGGTTTTTTTTTTATTTCATTGATTTCAGCTCTTATTTTTATTATTTCTCTTCCTTCTATTTGTTTTGGATTTGCTTGTTCTTGTTTTTCTAGGAGTTTGAGATGTATCATTAGGTCATTGATTTGAGATCTTTCAGTCTTTTTAATATATGCACTCATGGCTATAAACTTTCCTCTCAGGAACTGCCTTTGCTGTGTCCCATAGGTTCTGGTTGTGTTTTCATTTCATTGACTCCAGGAACTTTTTAATTTCCTCTTTTATTTCATCAATGACCCATTGTTCATTAAGTAATGAGTTATTCAGTTTCCAGCTGTTTGCATGTTTTTTGTCTTTATTTTGTTGTTGAGTTCTTGTTTTATTGCATTGTGATCAGATAGAATGCATGTATAATTTCTATTTCTTTATTTGCTGAGGCTTGCTTTGTGCCCTAGGATATGATCTATTTTGGAGAAGGTTCTGTGGGTGCTGAGAAGAATGTATATTGTGTAGAAGTTGTAGACATCAAGTAGGTCCATTTGATCTATTGTATATTTTAGATCTAGGATTTCTTTATTGATTTTTTGTTTGGATGATCTATCTATTGATTATAATGGGGTGTTAAAGTCTCCCACGACCACTGTGTTGAGTTAATATGCTTTTAGGTCCTTTCAGGGTATGTTTGATGAAATTGGGTGCATTGACATTGGGTGCATATAGTTGATAATTGTTATTTCCTTTTGGTCTATTTCCCCTTTTATTAGTATGGAATGTCCTTCTTTATCTTTTTGATCAATGTAGGTTTGAAGTCTACTTTGTCAAGATAAGTATTGCTACTCCTGCCTGTTTT